TAATGTGATGTTTATAAACAACCCAAAAGTTCTAGATACTGAGTCATCTCTGGCTTTTGGCTTGGCTTAAGCTGAACGGATTTTACAGAGTTTAGCAGGCATCGTTCGCACTTTTCTGGCGCACGCGATTACCATTACAGTGTTTATGCATAAACACGCAAACAGAATCAGTCAGAGAACAAAGAATGGGCATGCAGTTATAATACTCACTTAGCACTGCATATATTATTCTGGATCTCTCCCACTATCTCTTCCCTTTTTTTTTTTTCCCCCCCTCTCTTTTTTGGTTGTCTTTTCTTTTTTTTTTTTAATCTCCATCAACACAGCAAACACCTGCAGCCTTCCAAATAGTAGCCTTGGCTCCACAGAACCTAGCAGGAAGACCACGGACTGTGTTTCTTTATCATCTGGATAACTGTAGATTTCCCTACCAATATGATGCCATGTTCAACTGTCCCATTCTTCTGAGCTCTGTGTTAATAAACTTGCACATGACTGCAAACATTTCCCCACTGTTCAAGAGAGGTGCATTGCACTGCCCAAACTGAGTAAGAACACTGCTAAGTGGCTAAGAGCAAAATGATAGTAAGAGAAGCAGGTGTATAATATGCCTTCTGAAATGCAGGCAAAGGAAGTTTTAAGTGTGGATGCCTTCTATATAGACTTTCCATTATCAGGAATAAAATCAAAGAATTGTCTGCTTAACTGGAAAAAGCAGACAATAGAAGTAGTAAGAAAAACCTTAGTATCCATTACTATAAACCCACAAAGACTCTTTCTTCACATAAGCATTTGCTTGCTAGAAGTGATGAATATTTCAGATGTTCTTTCAAAATAAACAGAGAACCTAATACAGTATTTATGGCACAGCAGAAATTTCCTAAATGACTCCTCCTACAAAAACCAGAAAGGAGCACTAAAACACAAGTGTGGAAAGCGACAGATAGTAAGTAAACGAAAGGTACAGTACCATAGTATGTATCACTTGTGGTCTTAACATTTATGTCTGTCCAACCCATTTTCAACAGGAAAGCACTGCTTGTTTTCACACTGTACAGAAGAATTCGCAAATATGTTGGTCCTAATCAGCTCAATTAAAAAGAGCACTAGCCCTCCAAGTAAATAAATGTGCAGCTATAAAACTTAGGATGATTAGAGAGAAATACAAACTCCATGTATTATTGGAAGAGAGTACTACAAATCCTCCTTTAAGAAAGTTTACAACACTATTTGAAGCAAAATACAAACAAAAAAACATGTTAACATTTTGAAAGCCTCACTGGTCAGATGCCCTCAGTCTCTACTGATCATTTAAGGCTGAAGTTACAATTCAGTAGATACGACAATACCACCTTACACAGCAGTCCCACCGATAACAGAAGCCAAGTAAGAGAGTCATATACCCGAATGTCACACCTCTAAAAATTTCCTTGTAAAGAAGTCTGCAAATTATGTAGCTTTTTCTAAGTTTACTCCAGCTGACAAGAGATATGAAACCTAACTTAAGATGACCAACCTCCCTCCTCCTCCCTAAAAAACAAACAAAAACCCCACCAACTCCAACCTAGTTGTTTCATGAGATGCCTTCAGGGGTACCATGCCTAACTTGGTGCGTGCAAGTGAATAAACTCTTACAAAATACACTTCAGCACCACAGAACAAAGACAAATATTAGAAAACACAAAGAACAGTACCTAAAACCAAAGAGGAAACACTGCAGAATCAATTCAGCAAAGGAAAAGTCAAACCAGAAATAATTATAAGCCCAACGACTAACATATGATACTACGCACACACAAAAACCGGCAAGCCTTTCCATTTAAGAGCCAAGGAAATAAAAACTCTTCAGAAGGCTTTCTGGAAAGGAGAGGAATGACAGCATCACATTACATAGCAACCTGCCCTGCCATCAAATCAGAAAGAGTGGCAAAATGAACTCAAAGAGAAAAATCTGAAGACCTGCTATGAACCCCTACTGTAGACAGACACCTAATACAACATATCTGCCTATCACAAAAAAAAAAAAAAAATCTTCACACTTTGACAGGTGTCATACCAATTACACATTACGAAGCCAAAAGACTCATTTACAGTCCTTATTTTGCATGCTACTATCAACTTAACCACACAAACCAGAATGAACAAGTGCTAAAGTTTTAACTACACCTATGCGCTATGTTACAAGAGCAGCAGTAATTAAAATGAGTAATTAAAAGCATACCCGTGACTTAATGAAAAATGCTAATTTTTTAAATGGATTCATGTATTTAATGAAAGAAGAAAAGCACTTGCTACTGTTGTACAACCACAATTACTGTCAGCATACAGGGAGGCAGTTTGCACAACTACTCCCACATGAAAAGACAGACACTCTTGAGGTTGGACATACTTGCAAGTCAAATAAGGCTATTTACTCCTCGGTAAACCTTAACTTTTACCTTTGCTTTATCTTACAAAAATTATAACTCCTTTAAGCAAGTTTCTGTAACATGAAACAGCAAAGACAAAATGTCGCAAATATGTTGGTCCTAATCAGCTCAATTAAAAAGAGCACTAGCCCTCCAAGTAAATAAATGTGCAGCTATAAAACTTAGGATGATTAGAGAGAAATACAAACTCCATGTATTATTGGAAGAGAGTAGTACAAATCCTCCTTTAAGAAAGTTTGCAACACTATTTGAAGCAAAATACAAACAAAAAACCATGTTAACATTTTGAAAGCCTCACTGGTCAGAGGCCCTCAGTCTCTAATGATCATTTAAGGCTGAAGTTACAATTCAGTAGATACGACAATACCACCTTGCACAGCAGTCCCACCGATAACAGAGGCCAAGTAAGAGAGTCATATACCCGAATGTCACACCTCTAAAAATTTCCTTGTAAAGAAGTCTGCAAATTATGTAAATTTTACTAAGTTAACTCCAGCTGACAAGAGATATGAAACCTAACTTAAGATGACCAACCTCCCTCCTCCTCCCTAAAAAACAAACAAAAACCCCACCAACTCCAACCTAGTTGTTTCATGAGATGCCTTCAGGGGTACCATGCCTAACTTGGTGCGTGCAAGTGAATAAACTCTTACAAAATACACTTCAGCACCACAGAACAAAGACAAATATTAGAAAACACAAAGAACAGTACCAGCACAACAGAACAAAGACAAATATTAGAAAACACAAAGAACAGTACCTAAAACCAAAGAGGAAACACTGCAGAATCAATTCAGCAAAGGAAAAGTCAAACCAGAAATAATTATAAGCCCAACGACTAACATATGATACTACGCACACACAAAAACCGGCAAGCCTTTCCATTTAAGAGCCAAGGAAATAAAAACTCTTCAGAAGGCTTTCTGGAAAGGAGAGGAATGACAGCATCACATTACATAGCAACCTGCCCTGCCATCAAATCAGAAAGAGTGGCAAAATGAACTCAAAGAGAAAAATCTGAAGACCTGCTATGAACCCCTACTGTAGACAGACACCTAATACAACATATCTGCCTATCACAAAAAAAAAAAAAATCTTCACACTTTGACAGGTGTCATACCAATTACACATTACGAAGCCAAAAGACTCATTTACAGTCCTTATTTTGCATGCTACTATCAACTTAACCACACAAACCAGAATGAACAAGTGCTAAAGTTTTAACTACACCTATGCGCTATGTTACAAGAGCAGCAGTAATTAAAATGAGTAATTAAAAGCATACCCGTGACTTAATGAAAAATGCTAATTTTTTAAATGGATTCATGTATTTAATGAAAGAAGAAAAGCACTTGCTACTGTTGTACAACCACAATTACTGTCAGCATACAGGGAGGCAGTTTGCACAACTACTCCCACATGAAAAGACAGACACTCTTGAGGTTGGACATACTTGCAAGTCAAATAAGGCTATTTACTCCTCGGTAAACCTTAACTTTTACCTTTGCTTTATCTTACAAAAATTATAACTCCTTTAAGCAAGTTTCTGTAACATGAAACAGCAAAGACAAAATGATAAGATATTGGGATGTTTTCAAATAAAACTACACTACAGACATTCAGCATTTATCAAATCCACTATGTCCAATAACTTTTGAAATTTTAATGTACTGAAACAACACTAAATCATCTTATATTACATTTAGCTGGTATGAGAGAATAGTTCTAGAAAGTAAGTTCAACATCCATTTTTTTCTCATTTCCCTTAGCTTCGCCTTACACGTACCACCCATCTTACTTCCACCATCCATCCTCCAACATGTTAGTTTGAAACAACAGAATTAATGACTTATTTCTATTCAAAATATTCTAAAGACTAACTGAAAGACGCAGTATCAACGTGCTACGTTACTTTTTTAAAACACATTAGCCCTGAGTGTAGTAAGTCTGTATTTCGTTACAAAGACTAAGACATGTCCATTTGAAACACCAATCTTTTGTTATCATGAAAGATAGCCATCTTAAAAATCTTGAAGAAATGTGTTGCCACGTGAAACTGAAGGCTGTTGTGAGTTTACAAAATCTTCAGTTTCACTTGAGGTGTTCTAAAGTTTAAAAAAAAAAAAGGAAATCAAAACTACAGTAGTGTACGCATAAAATTTCCACTTTTTAAAATTTGGTTTGCATTGTAATATTGACTTCTCTCGCATTAAAATTTCAGATGCCATAAAATCTGTATACTAAAAACCCCACCAACATTCAACTGTTACCTTTGGAAGTATGAAACTAGGAATAGAGGAAATTAAAGCGAATCTTCAATGCACTGGCAAGCAAACTTTCTGGTCTGCAGGCTTGTGCAGAAAGATTGAAATATGTACACAACATGCTGGAGAGAAAGAGGAAAAAAAAAAAAAAAAAAGAACATGTTCTGTGCTTTTAAAATTAGCTAATCTCCTGAATAGCTGGAAAGCGCCGCTTCCCAGAAATTAACCCTTTGGTTGCCTGGTCTGTATGACAAGAAAATGCTGCTTAAAACGGGAGGAGATAAACATCAAAGCAATCATCGGTTACCTTTAAAACTCTTTGCTTCCTCCTCTGAGGCCTTTTGTTTTCAGTTAGAACCTAAAAAAACATCAAATTGCAGAATAAGTTGTGGTCACAAAGGCAGACACCTCCGATTTTTTTTTTCTTTTTTTTTCTTTTTTTTTTTTTTTTTATGATCGAACTGCAATATTTCCTAAATACCCAGAATGCTTTACATGCGGCACTTTAGAGGGCTGACGGAGGCTCTACGCGGCCCC